CCCCCCCCCCCACACACACACACACACACACACACACACACACACACACACAGCTAGTTAAAGCAATGAGCCACTGCAAGATCATTGTAATATAAAATTAAATGCGTAAAATCACTGTAAATATACAGAATGCAGCAACATGATACATTATTAATTTTATTAATAACAGAATATAAACACTTCTGCCACAAACGAGCTGTTGATTAGTGTTGATTAGAGCTGTTTACTGTTGCTAAGCGACGTATGTGTGTCACGGGTGTGTGTTTATGGCGTCAGACACAATCTGTCTGATCAAACATTCTAACACTCAGATTCAGTCAAAACAGACAAACGCCTGCAATCCCAGAATCCCCTGAGTGTGTTTACAGCTGAAGACGTGTTTCCGTTTGTTCAGTTTCGATTAACACTTTTCAAGCTGATGAACAACTGAAAACATGAGTCAAATGAGAGCAGAATCAAACTTTAATTTTAACAAATTTTAAGTTTTAGAATTTTTGTTGTTTTTGTAATTTTTAATGTCTATAGTTATTAATAATTTTTATTTTACATTTTTTATTTTTTTGTTTACACTTCAATTTTAGTTGGAAGTTTTAGAAATGTTGTTGTGTTTTTAGCCTTTTTTATTCGTCTTTTTAAAAACATGTTTATATAGATTTTAATCATTTTTATTTTTAGTTTATTTAGTTTTAGTTTTTTTTAGTACTGCAACTTCAAATAAACGAAAATAGAAATGCTTTCTTGGCAACTAGCTGAAATAAAAAAAGTAGTGCTGTCAAACAATTAATCGCATCCAAAATAAAGGTTTTTGTTTACATTATATATGTGTGTGTACTATGTATATTTATTATGTATATATAAATACACACACATACAGTATATATTTTGAAAATGTTTACGTTTATACATTTATATATTCATATTCTTATATTTTATATTATATACAAATATGTTTAATATATAAACATAACATATTTTTCTGAAATATATACATGCATGTGTGTGTATTTATATACATAATATATACACAGTACGAACACATATATTATGTAAACAAAAACTTTTATTTTGGATCACGATTAATCGTTTGACAGCACAAAAAAAAGTTTCAAAACTTTTTTTTTTTTTTTTTTAAGTAAAAACATTTTTTGTTTTATGGTTCTAGTTAACTACAATAATAACCATCACATCTAAATGGTGTCAATGGAAGGAAAATACTTCATAATAAAGATTTAAAACATCTCATGAAATATATGAAGCTCCTTTATTGTAAAAATTCAATAAAAATGAGGTGTAATGAGACGTCAGGAGTATGAATCTGGAGAGATCAGAGATCTGCAGTGGGCCACAGTGCACTGTGGGATAGGTTTTAAAGCGTTGAGATTAGTGCAGGATGTTATTAGCGCATTGAAACGCATCAAAGCAGAACATCACTGCTGAACGTGCCCAAACATTCACCAGACTACCCATGATGCACCAGTCAAAGACTCAATGGCATGATGGATCATTTATCTGTGGGTGGTCAGACGTTCTGAACAGCTTTACATTAGGGATGTAACGATATCTAAATCTCACAGTGATATTATTGCAATATAAAGTCCACGATATGATATTTATTGTGATATTTAAAAAGAAAAAAAGACAAATGAAGAATTGGGAAAAAATGAAAATTGTGTACATTTTAAAGTTAAATTATTCTATCTAATGCACTTTGAGAGTTCAAAATTAAGAGCTCCAACCCTCGTTCTTAACTAAGAAAACTTAGGTCAGAAAAAAGGTATATTTCATAGGTATATTATTTTTGCTTTACACTACAGTAGGGAAATTACAATACTTCTTTCCTAATTTCTACACTTGAAAGAGATCATTTGAATTTGGACTGCATTTAAACCGCTAGCTGTCAGCAATTCATACGTCACTTTTTAACTTTTATTTTGATTTATTTTCCAGCTTCAGTGAAAACATGCTTACAAAAACACAAACACGTCTCACTACAAATCTAGTGAAACGCTGTAATCATCTGCCGGGAAAATAAAGCATAACTGCTGTTCCCAAACGCGTGCTAAACTCACAGCTCATGAAATAAAGGAGTGGACTGCATTCATTCAGTGTGAACGAGTCGTTCTGAGATGCAGAAAACACTGGATCACGAGCTGATCGTCTGAACCAAGTGAGCTCTTCGCTTTCAAACGCAGCGCAAACAGACTTGATGAAGGGATTAAGCATACTGTGCTTTCGGTTTGAGTTCGTTTGACAGATACTGTGCCAAAGCATAATGACCCAAAACAAATATATTTTAAAAACTACACTTTTTGCCCAGAAGACCTATCTTTTCATATCATCATGTGATCACGATAATATCGAGACTGTTGATTATATCGTTCCATCCCTACTTTACATTCAACAGATTCGCAGTTTCTAATCATTTTTAGTTTAGGTATTTTTAAAATATATTTTCCATTTTCACTTTAATTTCACCTAGTGTAAGTTTTAGTCGTTTTGGACACTCTTACCCTCTCAACACTTAAAGAGTAAACTGACCAGCCTGTTTGTGAGCGTCTGCATGTGATGTAAGCATTAGGAAACATTCAGCATGTGAAGCGTCTCACCGTGATTTGTTGAGGACGGGTTCTGCGTCGTGGAACCACTCGATCAGCGGCGGCGGCTTGGCTCTGAACTGACAGTGAAACACGGCCTCCTCATTACGCAGAACCACCTGATCCACCGGAGCCACCAGCACACGGGGAACAGACTTATCTGAACACACACAGAGAGACAGAAGAGTCACGCTTCAGCTTATGAATATAGAGTAAAGACACTCACTCACACTCATCTACTTGCCAGCTGCTAACAGCACTGACAGCTCCTGTCAGGTGTCACGTGACCTTTGACCTTTAGCACACCTGGATCAGACCACATTCCACAGAGAGAAACTCATCTGACGTCCCTCCGTTTGATCCTTGTGCTCCTGCGGGACGTGATTCTATAAATCACCCTTTACTGATTTATAGTCACATTTACAATCGTGATCATGTTCAATAAACATATTCATACAGTTACTAATGAAACAAAACTCACATAGTCATTTTAGGTTGAATGAAATTAATATTAATCTGTTGAATATTAAATGTTGATTACATCAACATTGTGTTGATCTTTTTTTTTTATATATTCATTTTAAGTTTAATCAAAATCATTTTTTAATCAATTACTGATTCAGCAATACATAAATGTTGTTAATGATTTAATCAAGTGTTGTCCGTCCGACAGAGATATTCCTGTTGGTTTATGATGTTTTGTGATGATGCGACTCATGATAAGTGTTTTTATCGTCTTGTTCACAGGAAATGCAGCTCTACACGAACTCCATTTCTGCAACTGCTGCAAGTTTGAGTCGCTTATAATGTAATGTAAATGTAGATCTAGATCAGATAGAAATGCTTTAAATCAGACAGACATGCTGTAGGCCATACAGACACGTTCTAGAACAGACAGACAGGCAGACAGACATGCTCTGGGATCAGACAGACACGCTGTAGATCAGGCAGACACACTCTAGGATCAGACAGACATGCTCTAGGATCAGATAGAAATGCTTTAGATCAGACAGACAGGCTCTAGATCAGACAGACATGCTGTAGGTCAGACAGACAGGCTCTAGATCAGATAGACAGGCAGACAGACATGCTCTGGAATCAGACAAGACACGCTGTAGATCAGACAGACACACTCTAGGATCAGACAGACATGCTGTAGGTCAGACAGACAGTTTAAAATATATTTTCCATTTTCACTTTAATTTCACCTAGTGTAAGTTTTAGTCGTTTTGGACACTCTTACCCTCTCAACACTTAAAGAGTAAACTGACCAGCCTGTTTGTGAGCGTCTGCATGTGATGTAAGCATTAGGAAACATTCAGCATGTGAAGCGTCTCACCGTGATTTGTTGAGGACGGGTTCTGCGTCGTGGAACCACTCGATCAGCGGCGGCGGCTTGGCTCTGAACTGACAGTGAAACACGGCCTCCTCATTACGCAGAACCACCTGATCCACCGGAGCCACCAGCACACGGGGAACAGACTTATCTGAACACACACAGAGAGACAGAAGAGTCACGCTTCAGCTTATGAATATAGAGTAAAGACACTCACTCACACTCATCTACTTGCCAGCTGCTAACAGCACTGACAGCTCCTGTCAGGTGTCACGTGACCTTTGACCTTTAGCACACCTGGATCAGACCACATTCCACAGAGAGAAACTCATCTGACGTCCCTCCGTTTGATCCTTGTGCTCCTGCGGGACGTGATTCTATAAATCACCCTTTACTGATTTATAGTCACATTTACAATCGTGATCATGTTCAATAAACATATTCATACAGTTACTAATGAAACAAAACTCACATAGTCATTTTAGGTTGAATGAAATTAATATTAATCTGTTGAATATTATATGTTGATTACATCAACATTGTGTTGATCTTTTTTTTTTATATATTCATTTTAAGTTTAATCAAAATCATTTTTTAATCAATTACTGATTCAGCAATACATAAATGTTGTTAATGATTTAATCAAGTGTTGTCCGTCCGACAGAGATATTCCTGTTGGTTTATGATGTTTTGTGATGATGCGACTCATGATAAGTGTTTTTATCGTCTTGTTCACAGGAAATGCAGCTCTACACGAACTCCATTTCTGCAACTGCTGCAAGTTTGAGTCGCTTATAATGTAATGTAAATGTAGATCTAGATCAGATAGAAATGCTTTAAATCAGACAGACATGCTGTAGGCCATACAGACACGTTCTAGAACAGACAGACAGGCAGACAGACATGCTCTGGAATCAGACAGACACACTCTAGGATCAGAAAGACATGCTCTAGGGATCAGATAGAAATGCTTTAGATCAGACAGACAGGCTCTAGATCAGACAGACATGCTGTAGGTCAGACAGACAGGCTCTAGATCAGATAGACAGGCAGACAGACATGCTCTGGAATCAGACAGACACACTCTAGGATCAGAAAGACATGCTCTAGGGATCAGATAGAAATGCTTTAGGTCAGACAGACAGGCTCTAGATCAGACAGACATGCTGTAGGTCAGACAGACAGGCTCTAGATCAGATAGACAGGCAGACAGACATGCTCTGGAATCAGACATACATGCTGTAGATCAGACAGACACGCTCTAGATCAGACAGACACACTCTAGGATCAGACAGACATGCTCTAGGATCAGATAGAAATGCTTTAGATCAGACAGACAGGCTCTAGATCAGACAGACATGCTGTAGGTCAGACAGACAGGCTCTAGATCAGATAGACAGGCAGACAGACATGCCCTGGAATCAGACAGACACGCTGTAGATCAGACAGACACACTCTAGGATCAGACAGACATGCTCTAGGATCAGACAGACATGCTGTAGATCAGACAGACACGCTTTAGGATCAGACAGAAATGCTGTAGATCAGACAGACATGCTCTAGATCAGACAGACACGCTGTAGGTCAGACAGACATGCTCTAGATCAGAAAGACACGCTGTAGATCAGACAGACATGCTGTAGATCAGACAGACACGCTTTAGGATCAGACAGAAATGCTGTAGATTAGACAGACATGCTCTAGATCAGACAGACACGCTGTAGGTCAGACAGACATGCTCTAGATCAGAAAGACACGCTGTAGATCAGACAGACATGCTGTAGATCAGACAGACACGCTCTAGATCAGACAGACACACTCTAGGATCAGACAGACATGCTCTAGGATCAGACAGACACGCTCTAGGATCAGACAGACACGCTCTAGGATCAGACAGAAACGCTCTAGATCAGATAGACGCGCTCTAGGATCAGACAGACACACTCTAGGATCAGACAGAAACGCTCTAGATCAGATAGACGCTCTAGGATCAGACAGACACGCTCTAGATCAGACAGACACACTCTAGGATCAGACAGACATGCTCTAGGATCAGACAGACATGCTGTAGATCAGACAGACACGCTCTAGATCAGACAGACACACTCTAGGATCAGACAGACATGCTCTAGGATCAGACAGACATGCTGTAGATCAGACAGACACACTTTAGGATCAGACAGAAATGCTGTAGATCAGACAGACATGCTCTAGATCAGACAGACACGCTGTATGTCAGACAGACATGATCTAGATCAGACAGACACGCTGTAGATCAGACAGACATGCTGTAGACCAGACAGACACGCTGTAGATCAGACAGACATGCTGTAGACCAGACAGACACGCTGTAGATCAGACAGACATGCTGTAGACCAGACAGACACGCTGTAGATCAGACAGACATGCTGTAGACCAGACAGACACGCTGTAGATCAGACAGACATGCTGTAGACCAGACAGACACGCTGTAGATCAGACAGACATGCTGTAGACCAGACAGACACGCTGTAGATCAGACAGACATGCTGTAGACCAGACAGACACGCTGTAGATCAGACAGACATGCTGTAGACCAGACAGACACGCTGTAGATCAGACAGACATGCTGTAGACCAGACAGACACGCTGTAGATCAGACAGACATGCTGTAGACCAGACAGACACGCTGTAGATCAGACAGACATGCTGTAGACCAGACAGACACGCTGTAGATCAGACAGACATGCTGTAGACCAGACAGACACGCTGTAGATCAGACAGACATGCTGTAGACCAGACAGACACGCTCTAGGATCAGACAGACATGCTGTAGATCAGACAGACA